TATATATATATATATGAGAATTATTCAATTTGAATGGATTATGCCACTGCATTGATTCGAATTCGCGATAAGAAGGCGGTGGCAATGATGAAATTCACTGGAAATTAGATGATTTCAGCAATGAGTAGCATCAACTAAATCAATTCGTTTTGTGTGAAGATGCACCGATTGTTGTACAATGAAGAGCATGAAAAGATGTCGTTGTGGAATGGAATGAATATATTTTGTATGATTTGTTGAATTGTTATTGTTGTTTTGATGCAAATCGTTTTGAAAAGACATCATCGTCATACTTTGTCGATGGTTTTAAACGCAGAAAAGTTTGAATAAAGCTTCTCTAGCGCGACTGATTCGTTTTTAATTAACATTCGTCATCGCCTATTGCACTGAATATCGCTCTACATGAAATGGATAAGAAAGAAAAAGTACTAAATGTACGTTTGTCACAATCAAGCGATTAAACAAAGTACAGGAATATTATTGCATGAAGCAGTTATTAATTTTTCTTAACCGTTATTTGTTTTCTAGACAACATTTCGACAAAGTTCAAACAGATTAACCTTACACTAAAATTCACGGATTATTGTTGCAGTTATTATTTATAGCATTAACAGTATGAAATTTTTTATTGTTGCCTACAGTGAAATTAATTATGAACCACATTCCATTCTCATAATAAAACGAAAATATTTCGTGCAAATGTAATTGAAGATTTTTACCGAAATGGCAGTGTGTGCCTCAAAAGTAGGATGATTCTTGAACGAATGAAAATATTTCTTGCTGACGTTATTATTATTATTATTATTATTATTATCATAGCTGCTATAATCACGCTTATCTGTAATTGATGTAAGCATGATGACGTATTTATATGTTGTGTGGTAAAGCAATAACAACTAGATACTTGCCCAAATACTTTACATGATTCGTAATGAGTTGTTTGGCATGGAACAGCAAAATTATATTGTTCAAAATAAATGTGAGTTAAATTGAGGTTGATAGCTAATTTTAATTGGTGTTCGAATCGTTTCGATAAACAACGTCAGATGTTTGTTTAGAGTTGTGGAGTGTTTTATGATTTTACTGTTTTCGCAATTTCTATCTGTGAATTATGGAATGAATGCTAATTTTAAGCTGCTTAATCATGAGACAGATAAGCTTCACTGTTATTCTCTCACATTCAAACTGGCTGTCGTTTAAATGTTGCTTTTATGAGAATCATACAACATGTTTATTGCTGATCGTTCAGTGATATGAAAACGTTGAAATTTTTACATAAAGTATGCAGATAGACATGAAAAGCAGTGAATTATCGCTCATTTATGCATAAAACAAGGAATGTTAAGATGATGAAAATGCTTATGTGAATAAAGCTGAGAAGCTGAGTGAATGTTAACAATTGTCCATGTTGATGAGATGCTTTTCAACACTTGCTGTAACAAAGAGCAAATATTCAAGTAACGAACCGGAAGAATAAGTTATCGAGTGTACGCGTTCATGAAAGAGCGTTGTAAAGTTCACTGAGAAGAGCGTGTGCATTATCTGTAATCACTAGAAGAGTATGAGATTATTCGTGAGACATGGATGTTGTTTATTCGCAAATAAGTCGAAGCATCCTATGACGTGAGAATGCGTGCATGCATGAATGATGTGACGCACGATGACGTGATGTATGCCCAGTGGGCTAGAACTTGCGCAGCATGATGCGGATGCTTAGCACACCACGCACTCGCAAACGTCCTGATTTACTCGTTGCTATCAAAATGGGATGAGGGACAATCGTAATAGGCATTTCGCCATTATGTAATACTTAGCTTATAAAATCTCGTTTTATTGAATCAATAAGATCAACAATGTAAGTTGGTCGAATGATCACATTCGTAATTTATTTGCAGATGTTAATTTTAATCAGTTGTATGATTCTTAATTCAATGTACTCACAAGCTAATCAAATGTTAATCAACACTTTTCAGTTCTTGATGACTCTCAATTCAGTCTAGTCACAAGCTCTATGAAACTAATAATATCGTATATTTGCAAATAAAATGGGTGGAAGTCACCAAAAAAAACTGTTCAATTTCGAAAATGTTGAATAATATCCTTCCTTACATAAATATTGAGCAAGATCCTCTACCGTACCACTGAGTGCATCCAATGTTCGATATTGACACATTACAAGTGATCGATTGATCATTTCATAAATTTATAAACTAAATAAGGAATTTAATAGATGAACTGACTCGAACTTAATGGTGCAATTAACGATCAGTATAAACGCTTATCTTTATTCAAAAAGATTTGTATAGTGGAGATGAATCATTCAAACAATAGAGTAAAAGTCGGAAATAAGGCATTTGTGGTGTTTTTCTCAAACATTTGAAAGCATATTGTTATTTTTGGTTCATCAACTGCTTTAAGGTTTACTTCAACAATGTTATTTATTGGTTTTGCTTCATTGTTACACATCTAATACATACACATACAGCTAATGATTGAAATTCATCAAATTCACTCATTACTTCATGCATTTCAGAAGTGATTCATTCCCGTCATAATTGATTCGGTCGAATGACTTATCAAATGCGCTATTGTTGTTGCTAGTAGGTTGCTCACTCTTAAATGCTTCATGTTGTTTATAATCCATACTTTCGTCTGTTTTCTTTCATCGATCCACGACTTCGCGATGAGGTCAGTCATTCAACAATCTCTTCATACTCAAAAAGTTTGTGTGAACCTTACTTTTTGCACTGAAATACCTGCTGTATTGATCATTNGAAAATTTTGAGTCACTGAACAAACTTGGAAAAAATTAGTAAGGTGGTGCTATTTACGATAGCATTACTTTGTTCGAACAATTCGTTCAACGACAATTGTGTCAAACCGATGAATTCTTTACTCATCACACCAATGTTTATTACCTACCGGTTGTTCGTTTCAGTGATTCAGTTTTTGTCGTTCTGTTGTTCATAATTGCTAGATACCGTTCAAACAAGAACTCGTCACACACCTACACATGCGTGATTCATAGAGTTTGTTTCATATCCCTGACAACTAAACGAATTTTCGATTGTTCCGCTGCATGCGCTTTAAAAGATGATTTCAAATTGATGAACATACCGTCAGAAACTCGATTGTGTCGATCTTTTATGTCTCCAACGCAAAATGACTGTGTCATTAATGAATCGTGCCTTATCATCCATCCGTATTTACTGCAGCATTACTTCGTAATCTATCTCGACAATTTAGACCGTCATTTCGTTGCGCTTTCTGCAACCGTTTTATTTTCTTAATATTCTTTTGTTTTGTTCACAAAAGAATTTCTTATCAAAGAATTTCTTAACAGGTTAATGAAAATTAACTTATGAAAATTTTTCGTTATGATTTTTCGAGACAATCTTAGCAGCAAACATTATTATCAATGTTTGCTGCTAAGATTGTCTCGAAAAATCATAACGCGAAAAGCATTCTTCACTTCACCGTTTTATTTTCAGGTATGATGGGTTTTTTTTTTCAGTTTTTTAGCATCCTGTTAGGATGATTCTTCTCAGCGGGAAAACTTGATTTTTTTAAAGAACTAGACGCTCGAATGTAATGGTCAACGTTTTCCCTTTTTCAGGTTCCGCTAAATTTGCATTTGACATTCACTGATGTACAGTTTTGTATTTTTTTGTATCATCATCTACGTAGCAGTTACCTCGCACGTTGTCGGTATGTGATTTTTCAATTGTCCTCTTTGTCAACAAAAGATTTGATGCATTTTCTTTGCACTTCATTTATCATCATCTTTCAGAGTGCGGAATTCAAACTTCAGCTGAACGTTTAAAATGTACGACTGACGAAGGATGCATTGAATCTAATTTAAATACTCTCAATTTCTTGTTACTTGGAGATACTGGAGGTACGTCAATCAAAGTCTGTGTTTGCGCTCCAATTTCACATTTGCCCTGTTGATTTTTTTTACGCATACAACCTCAACGATATGAGAATAAAACAGCAAAAGTTGATTGCTGTCAAAGAAAGAGCCAAATGAAGTGCTCAAGTGTTGTGCTCAATCTTACAGAACTCATTGCTTCACGGTTGTTAATTTCTTATGTATATCAATGACGTTTGGAGATTAAAAAAACACGAAATTTGTTCAGAATAAATGTTAATACTGTCTAATAATACTGAATTACATTTACTAAATACTGAACTTATTTTCAATATAAGTTTGTAATAATAAGAGTTATCGATTCAGTGAAAGTAAAATTCTAATAGATATTTCATTATTTTTCTTATCGAGTGGTCAACACTTTCATTGATCATCTGATTTTTTAAATAAAAATGACTATTAATTTCAAAAGGATTACCTGTATATCCATATGTAACATATGCCCAAAATAAAGTTGCAAAAGCGATCAGTAAAGTGGGCGAAGAGATGAAAATAAAATTTCTGATAACAGTCGGTGATAATTTCTATTTCACTGGTGTCGAGAATGTTTATGACGATCGATTCGATGTTAGTTCCATTATTAATCGAATTCGAGTTTATGTTTCAATGATTTTTTTTTTTGTTTACTCAAATTCTGGTAGCATTTCAAAGTCGACTGGTTTGCAGAACGATAGTCGTTTCTATGCCGAAATCTTCTATGAATTTTTTTTTTGCATTCAGCATGTCTTTTGTTTTCATCCTTGACTCGAAATAACATTTCACTGGATTCATAACCTTTAAATGAATGAATGAAATCGCCAAGAAACATTTAGAGTACCTTCGCAGATGTGTATAATGGCGATATTCTGCAAAAACCATGGTATATGATTGGTGGTAATCATGATCATTTCGGTAATATTACTGCACAAACAGCTTACACAAACCAAAGCTCGAGATGGTTTCTTACAGTTTCATTTGTTGTTCTTTTATCTCATATTGGCTTATTACTTTCATGCGATTATGCTTCTCTTTTGTTGTAGCGTTTATCAGTGCTATGTCGTCTTTAGATTTCATCATTTTTTTGTTTCTTTACTTCACATCTTTAATGTTAACAGCACTAGACACAAATTGGTTTTTGTTTATAGATTTTTAAGTGCATCCATACAACCATTCATTAGTTTCATATTCGGTATTCTGATTCGAAAAACGATTTTTTTTCAGGACCTATCCGTCATTGTATTATAAGGTCTCTTATAAATTTAGTGCAAAGAACACAAGTGTTGATTTTTTGATGATTGATACAATCGTTTTATGTGGAAACACACGTGATATTGATAATGCCGGATTCTTTGATATGATTTTTGCGGATGTTTCGAAAAATCCAAACAATCCAAGAGATCCTGAAGCTGCTCGAAAACAGTGGCAATGGATTGAGGAACAACTGAGTCAATCCAAGTACGTTAAAGAATGAATATCTTTTTTATAATCGAAAAAAAAACGTCAGTGAATTGAAAAACAACTAGATCAATTATCACTGATCTCAATCGCATAAATATATTTTCCAAAGTATTCATTTTCATCTAATGATGAAGGGACTTCAAAAAGATTTTTTCTTATTGGATTGTGAAATAAAGATGTTTAGTGAATCTATGGCATTGTTACTGAAATTGGTATCTGAATTCTCCCATAACTTGCAGTTTTTTGCGACCTTGAGTTTTACTTTTATCGTCAATATCTGTTGCCAATATTGCCAGAAAACAATGAATTTCTCTCTGCTTTGAACCGGACCATAAAAAACTGCTTCTTTCGCGATGATTCTGAAGCCGCACATCGAATCTTCCTGTCATATGCAGCTGGCTGCAATACGTTGTTTTGTTTTTTGCTTCCGTCTTGAAAACAGAGTGATGTTTTCTGTCGAAACTATTGCTGGTAACGTTTGAGTTTTTCAAATGACTTAGGGAAGTTGCAGAGCTGATTACTTATTTGTGGCTGGGCATTATCCCATATATTCGGTTTCGGAGCATGGTCCAACGCAATGTCTCGTCGATAAATTGAATCCACTTTTGAGGAAGTATAAAGCATCAGCTTACTTTTCTGGACACGATCATAATTTACAGGTGTTTCGTTCAATTCCAGAATCATCATCTGCAAAAATGTGTTTTGGAAAAATCTTGATCAATATTCAACAATCAATATTAAAACTGATTCTGAAACAAGAGTTCTCAGGAATGTTCGAAAAAGAAATAACATATTGAATATTAGACGGTCATAGAGCTCAAAAAGGGATTGAAATGGATTAATATTTTTTTAAAATATAAAGTAAACAATGTCTGACTGAATTTATTCTAATCGTTTTTCCTTGTGTGATAATTCAAAAATATACATCTTAGCATTTAATGATCAAAGAAACATATGATTCGGATGGTGAAGAGCAGTCGTTGAAAGATGAATCAGAGCCATCAGTAATGCATTATATTATTTCTGGAGCTGGATCTCGAAGTGATCGATCAATGAAACATAAGAACAACGTTCCGGTGGGATCTCATTTATTCAGGTGATCGATTCAGTGAAATGCTTCGAAATATGTTTCTGCTGTTGTACGATGTCTGCTAAAGAGTGATGTTCATTTTAGCTATCCAACTGGATTCAATCCATTCTCTCAATTAGGCTTCACGAATGGAGGATTTGTTGGCGTCGAAGTAAGCGATCAATCAGCCAATTTCAAATTCTTCAGTGGTGAAAGTCAACAAAAATACGATTGTTCGATTAGACGTCGAATTTTTTAAAATCATCATTTGCTCCTTATTTGACTCACACTCATATTTCAGCAAAAATCACTGACAATGAGATAATTAATTGTCTTTGCATTTCATTCAGTTTTTATTTTCAGTGTTGAAGCCTTTCATTTCAATATAGCACTAAGAAATTCACTAAAAATTCACCGATAAAAGAGCTGAGATAGCATTTATTAAGGATTGAAAGGTCATTCACTAAATATAAGGGGACATGTGATCTACTGAGAAACTGGTTTATTGTTACGTTGGATGCTTGGATGTTCGTAGACTGTTGAGCAACTGAGTCGAAATTTTCATCATGACATGCGATGATTAGGAGACGCTATTTGGAAAAAAACTTGATCAATATTCAACAGAGAAACTGTAATTCATTGGAATGCTTGGATGTTCGTAGACTGGAATTCAGCAAATAATGTGATATATTGGGTGCGAGATTTCGGTGCGTTGATACTTTGGACCAGTCGACGAAAGATGTCATCCGTTGACGTTCCTGTGACTAGCTATCAAACCTTGTAATTGTTACTATCATCATAACCGAAGTAGAAACGCATATATATGAGGTGTAGCGATAAATTTTGATCAAAACATTTGTGACTTTCGATTGTATATATGTTCAGAAAGGATCTTACCTCAGTTCGATAAACTCATTCCATCAATGCATTACATCTGATACATGCATTTCAATAAAGAATGCTGTCGGCGAAACGCAAAAAGCAGAAAGTTAAGTAGTCGAATATTGTTGCTTTTATCTTTGATTTTTCGAATTCTAATAAATTACACAGCAATACAGGAGTAAGGTTGAAAAAATGATGTGCTGAATAATATTGATGACTGGAACTGCTAAATGAACAGGTTTTCAAGTAGGTATGTTTATCTTGACCATCGCATCATAGGTTGCAACCCAATTTGCTTAAGAATGACGGCTATAGACCGAAAGCCTACCTCCCTGGTTTGTGTGCAAAAAAATTTTGGAATGCTAAAAAATCGTTCAGTCTCATAATTTGTTCCACTTTCTCACCGTGAACTTCTGTGTTCTGAATTTTGTCTATGGGCAGATTTCTGAATGAAGCAATTTATAAATCGAGAGCACACTGCATTGTTACCATACTAGAATAATTTTATCATTGAGTTATAGTTATATCAGTATTTGAATCGAGATTCAAAAGAGAGACCACACATGACAATAAGCCATAGCTTCGAAGCACAATTATGTCAGAGTTGTGTCTTCAAACAGTTCTTAATGCTTTTTTTTCAAACATCATCCTGGATCAATAAATATGTCTCATTCATTGCAAACTTCACCTTATGATGTATCCATGAACAAGAGCACTTTTTCAAAGTTGGGAGGCAACTTTAATAGAAGGTGCACTTTCATTAAATACGGGCTATTTCTACTTAGATTTCTACAGCAACTTTCCATGGGAGAGCCATTCTCCAACTGCCTACTAAAAATAGCCATCATATAAGTGTTATCCTTGCTTACGAGACCCTGTGAATAACTAGGACGATATACATCACTCAAGAAATGTATTCAAGGAAGCACAATACATGAAAATATGATGCCTAAATTAAGAAATTCGCAGTATGCTTATTCTAGGTTGCAGAGTGAGAAGTGTCGGTTTTCAATATTACAGTAGTGTTTGAGATGATCGACTTGCTTGAAATGTTTGATTAATAGCTAATTATGGTAAGAGTGCGGTAAATGAAGACGCACTCTAGATGATGATGCCCTCTTAACGAGGTCATTCCACCAGTAAGAGCACTATTGGAATTACCGCTTCGGCTTGTTCAAAAAAAAAGCGCATAAGATAGGTCAGTCACATTACGTACACAAATCAACGCACATAAGGCTTATGCAAGCATTCGTTCATCGTATAGTTTGTTTGGTCGAGGTTGACCTTTTGTTCTTTAATAAAGGCTTATTAAGAGAAGTTTCGTAAACTGACACTCAATCGTACACGTTGTTTAGTCACAAATATGCATTTTGTTTTACTTACCGTCCAGCATTTCATTCCATAAAACCTCATTTCCTAGTCACTTTCTGTTCTGAACAATCAAAAAATGAAATGAAATAATTGCCTTTATACGCCATACCATTAAACATGAAAGCACCATGAGATCAACGATTTGGATTGTATATTTCATGAAGTGTGTACGATGGTCTGATGCTATCAAATAACTTTTTATACTCAAAATAAAGACACATTCAACTTGATCTTCACTCTTGTACAGGAGAAGAAGAGCAATGTTCCAATTCATAACGGCAGTTTTCTCNAATGTTGAGTTGATCAAGTTCTGTGTTCACTTCACTTTTTCAGTTATAATATCATTATAAAGTACACATAAATGTGTTATGCTGTGTTTCAGAATACATTCAAATTTAATTTTTAAATTTCACCTAATTGTAAGCATCATTCAAAAAATTTAATAAACAATGTGAATCATTCGATGTGTATCATTCAAAAATTTGAACTTGATTATAGTGAGTGTAACTGTTGTATAATGCAAATATGATGATGAGGATGCGTATTGTTGAACAAAGATGACATAAGAAGAGTTCGTCGGTTAACTTGAGGTCAGCATGGGTCACTTCGGGGCGGAGCACGTGCGAGGGCAAGCTATTTGAGAAAAGGAAGGCGATCGCTCTTTGCGGCAGACACCATTTGTAAGGGCTAGGCTATCGGACTGCTGACCTTTCAACCCTACTGTTGCTGCTGCATAACGAACCAAAGAATATCTACCCTATTCAACAACCAACTGTTGCATACAACACTCAACTATGGACAGTATAACGGTTGATTTATCTCGTCCTCGTATCACCCAAATTCATTCTCCTAAAATACAAACAATGTTCGTACTTTATTCTTTTTTACTTTCACATTTTATATTCACATTTCTTAAATTTTTTTGGAGGATATCGAATATGTTCCACCAAAAAAAAAATAATTGCCGCAATATTATCACTAATTAAAAGAAGATGGATTTTCAGAACATATCCGGATTCATCGTCCTCTGCACTCAACTCACTAATGGATTTAAATACGGCCCTATCAATACTGCGACATTCGCATACGATTTCAGCAAGTGGCAACCCACCGTTATCATTCTCAGATCCTTCGTCACTTTTATCACTAACACAGCATCTACGAAACTATTCATCATTAAGCACTAATCCATCAAGCACAAAGCGTGTTGCACTTGATGTGCAACCTCCACAAAGTCCTCAATCGTGCTCTTCCTCTTCGGTTATCTCCTCTAGTCCACAACAATCTCCACAACGGAAACAACCTGCGCCAATACCTAATGATAAAAAGGTTTCATTTCACATTTATTCACACTCATTCTAAAATAATAGCTATCGATTTAGTTGTTCGGCACTACAACGAAAGTATTAGAATACATCAGCAAACGTCTAAATAATTAATCTTTGCGCTCGAAGATAATTTTTCAAATATATTATCATGCATCATTGATACTCATTAAAACTTCTGTGATAAGGTCGTTATGCAGTTACATATATGCAGTGATTGGGTATTTCAAGCAATGAAAATAACTCAACTTCAACTAATCCCTCCATAAACGAATCTATTAAGTGAAAGAACGCAATAGCCAGTTTATAGTTCTGTACCAACAAAGTGGGATAATTCTCATATTTTGTACCTACATAAAAATATATTTTTTAGCAAAAGTGTAGCTTGAATAAACTAAATTCCAAAGGTCTGTTTTGTAATAATTATGAACGGAGAGAGAAGGAATTGAATAAGTGATTATGAGGATGACCTCGTTTCACTGCTGTTTTTGCAACGTTTCGTTGCTAGTGGAAGAATTAATTCAAGCAACTGCCACTTTATTACAAAGACTCGAATGCAACTGTTAGATAGATGCAACATATAAATAAATATGTACGTAATGCAAATTTATTTGTTGAGGTCATCCCTTATCCTGCATTCTGTTCCATTGACGTGTTGATAATCATTTCCTATCAATCATTTTTCCTTTTTTCCCTGCATTCATATTGCGCATAAGCACTGAAAATGTGTTTCTCCAATGATTTGACAGTTAAAATATGCGTCATTTTTGCTGGCAAACTACTGCAAGATTTTATTAAACAGTATTATACATGCTCACATTTTTCTTCTTCTGAGTGCAAATAAAATTTCATTAGGTTTAAAAATCGTTTTAACTGCGAAATTTGCTATTCCTAAAATTTTGCTATAGCGAGTTTGTGCAAATAGACCAGGTATGTAATGATGAGTAGAGTGAGGTAACTTGTAGAAACAAGTTATGTCATTAAATAGTCTTTTAGGATATTCCGTTCACCCTTTTGAGGTTGTTCTCAGAGAACCAAGTTCACTGATGTCATTGAGGGGAATCAGTGAGCATTGGTTGAAGATATGTAGATTTTATTAATCGTTCGGTGGAATGAGGTAGAGAGAAAATAATCAAATTCATAAAAATAAAGCATGAATGCGCTAAACTACTGGTTATGCACTACTGATTTGTTTCGAAGAGATTGACGACATTTGATAGAAGTAGATTTATTGGGAATGAATGAAAAACTGATAATTGTGAGGTGAATGCGAAATGCATTTTTTGCTCGGATGAACACATTCATGTTGGGTGGATTGGTGATTCGTGGTATAGTAAATCTGAATGAAGAATTCAATAGAGATAATAATAAATTGTAATTCTAGTGATGAGTAGAATAGTGCAGATGATGTGACCTGTTGCGATGATTATAACAATTAATTGATTGAGCATCACCAGAATAGCATCGATCTTTTATTTATACGATGATGACAATGCATATAAATGTGATGGCGTTATGAACACATCAAGGCAATTCAAATGAATGTGACGTGACCTCTGCCCTTTCAGCTTTTTGCTCATTCCTTATTCATTATTCACTCTTTTCTCTCTACTTTTTTTTTTGAAGCACTTCCTCAACACATTTTTGAGTTGATTTACTGAGTTAGCAAATTTTGATTAATGCATTTAATTGCAGGATGAAGCGTATTTTGAGAGGAGACGAAAGAATAACGATGCGGCGAAAAGATCACGTGATGCAAGACGGCAGAAAGAAGAGGCAATTTCAACGAAAGCTGCATTCCTTGAACAGGTTTAACGCATGTTAAATTCAGCAGCAAAAGCACTCACTATCAAGCATTCTGAATTAAGGACTTATTGATGCATCTCAATTATTTTGTGAAAATTGCGGACAATCTAACTAAAAATATTCAAAAATGTGATCGGAAATGACGAGCAATGCCAGTAACGAAATACACTCTCATCAAATAATCCACCAAATACTTCTTGGCTGAGGTGCGCAATAGCGCGTTATTCGCTAACTGGTAGCTATTCTGCTCCGCTACTAATAGCTACTCGCAAAATAGCTGTTCCGCTATTTCGTTAAATTTCGTTATTTAGCGAAATCTTTCGCGATCTTTCGCCGCAGCGCGCTATTGCCCATTTTTGCCAAGAAGCATATTTCGTCGCTGACATTGCTCGTCACTTCCAATCACATTTTTCAATATTTTTGGTTTCTTAGTAAGTAAGCAAATATTTGGGTTTGTGCGCGCAGTTGAAATAGCTGAACTTCAAATGTTTTCGAAATCTCATTCGTTAATAAACCTGATTACATGAAGTAAGAGTCTTCTTTGAAGCACATTTCTCGCGTTATTTTCTTCTCATACACAACTTTCATATGTCCAAAGTTGTGTGTATTCATGGTGCTAATTTCAACCAATTGATGATGAAACACGGACGAAACATTGACCGTTAGCAGCACAAAACTTGCAATTGAGCACAAAACACAAAACTTAAACTTACAACTTACAATCAGCACAAAACTTTTATACGATAAGACTTTCGTGATAAACGTGCAAAATTCATTCTCATTCTTGCTGATATCGCTCACTTGAGTCTTGAATAAAAAAGTTTTTTTTTCATCTATTTGCTCGCCTTCTCAACCAAATTTTTAAAAAATCTGCTTTGTTTAAGGAGAACCTTCAATTACGAAGCCAGATTGCGCTATTGAAGAATGAAACTGCTAAACTTCATCTCATGCTGTTTGCACAGCCGAAACTGCTTGATAATCTACAACAACAAATAAAAAGCGATTGATACATCATCGCATCTGAGTGTACCATTATTTCTTTCTTTAAATTATTTATCGTTCTTAATCAATTTCGTTCATTCGTTACCCAACAATTCATCAGTTCCGATAAGAAATAAGTTGATGTTCGGCCAATTAAATGCTGCTATTGAAAATAATTCACCATTGAATAGTTATGCAGTTTTAAAAAAAACGATGAAATCTGCTCAATGATCGCTTGTTTGCAAATGAAGTATAATATTAATTACACTCAATCGAAGTATCCGTGATGAATCGTTTAAGTGTTATTGTATCCTGCTACAAAATATAATTTGAATTGCTCGATCGTGTTTCATTCACCTCATTCGAACTTTTTGCCCAAGTTACTTCAATGATGAATGCAATCATTTTAGCAGGTTTCAATCAATACTCATTGGTTTATTTGTTCATAATTTTGAAGATGCCAATACAATTCTGATGCCAATTCATTCGTACTAATATGTGTACATACTTATGAATGTGTGTGTGTGTGCACGAAGTACTAATTTATTTACAATTTTTGTTCCTTCATATCTTCAATCAGGTATCTTTGAATGACCTCAACTACTAATTAGTCTATCTCAGCTTTTAAAATCTTCTTTTTACGTGTATCATTGCGTTCTTAATTGTACGTGCTATTTTTTGCGTTTTTTGTACAACGGGTGTACAAAATAAAACATTTGCAATAATATCTCAATCTCTTTGCATAGCAACAATGCATAACACAATTTTACTGAAACAATAAAATTCCCTTCAACGAACACGAGTTGTCCTCTGAAAGGCTGTTCATTCATTGAATTTTCACAAAACACAACACGAAAATCGATTTCTGATCGCATTCACTGCCTGTCTAAATATTATTTCATAACTTCAATAAATGCTGAAAGAAACAAAAAGACAACGATCATGAAAACGATGAATGTTTTTCAAAACACACGAAGCTGTAAGATGGGAGCATGATGCATTTGAATTTGACATTCATTGCAACGTAATACTACATAGGCATTATTTTCGCAATCACGCACTGTTCATCTCACGAGGGGAGTTGATTGCGGTCGGTATTTTCGTTCTGTTAATGGCATGACTATTTTGTTCAGCTAATGCTTTTCTTGTGGGCTACATTTCAGTTTAGTGATTCGTTTGTACTCGAATCATTTACTTTTTATTCCATTTTAATCACTTTTTGAAATAATGCTTAAGGCTGAATAACTGTGAGCAACTGTTATGTCCGATGTTTGAACACTGAATTGACTTTTTTTTGATGTACGTATTTAAGCAAGTGCTATTTTTGCAGCAAATTTGTTGCCATCATATCGTGAATGTTCTTACACGTTCTAGCAGAAGCGGACTTTTGCGGACCTTTCGACATCAATGGTCATCTAGGTGTAGTTGTGAAGAAGTTGAATTGAAACTCTTAGTTTAGCTGTGAACAAGGAAATAAATATGTTATTTGCTTTAACTTGGTTTAAATTCACAGAATTTTTATTCGTTGTAAAAAATGAAGCGCTGCTTCTTTACTCGGATGCACGTAAACCATCTTTGACTGTATGAATAAGCTTGTTATTTTGACTGGCTTGATAGAAAAAGTGCTGCTTACAAGGCAGGCCTGATTAGTTCCTATAAACGATTGGGACGAAATCAACACCGTTCGAAAAAGCGTGAAAATTTGTGCCAATGGCCGTTTTCATTTTCTGCCCATTCGATCGTTGAGCCAAAATAAACGACGACGTTAAAGACTGCGAATTTTGCGCACCAATGTCGTAATAATTTTTTAATATTGCAGTCAACTTGACGGAGAGGGTGAATGAGTGAGGTACTAGAATATCATGCCAGAATTCTACTACGGGCTGTGAACTTTCTGCAATTCTCAACTTCTGATGATGAAAAAATTACAAGTTTCGAATCTTACACCTAGAATTCCATTCCCCGAGGAAGTTCATCCCATAGTGATTGTATGTGATGAAGGCTCCTAATTTGTAATAATTTCCGTGTTTGTTATAATTTTGTTAGTTCGATGAAGCGCGCTATTCAGATATATTGATTTATGAAAGTTGTAATGAATTTCAGAATGGTTTCGAGTCGTAGTTTGCAGTTGGGAATGCAGATGAGAAGACATCTGCAAACAGCCCCGAAAAGGCTAGCAGCTGCTTTCAAATTTTCACCCAGCCTTGCTGATCCCTCTCTTGGTATGTTCTCATGAATGTTGACATCAGATGAAAAAAATTTTGTTTTCTTCTTGTACGCTGTTTTTACCAAATCGTTAAAGAAAACATGCTTTTAATGTTTTGACTTAGTATATCAATCATGCTGAGTTCAGGCAAGAGCAATTATTATCAATATTATGCCCATAGGTGTAGCCAAAGAGGGTGCAAGGAGCGTACATTTCTCTACGCTGGAAGGTGGAAGAAAAAGGAGAAGGAAGAGGAAGAAGGAGAAGCGAATAGGGGAAAAGAAAAAATGTGGAAAATTCCACTCCAAA